GTCATTGCCTGATACCTTTTGGATTTCCCACTCTGCCTTTAGTATTCCTTTTACAAAACAGTTATCTTTTGATACACAGATTTACCGTCTTAAATTGTATATCTGTGTATTTTCAAAAATTAACTGTACTACTTACAACATGTCTTAGACTTGGCAAATTGTTTAGAGAAGAGAGAGGAGAAGCAGAATTTTGATCTGCTCTGCAAAAGAAGAGGTAGGTTTTTTGTATTATGGTGGTAAGATCTCTTAGCTGTGATGTCACAAGCTTCATGACCACTTCCAGTTTTTTTAGTTGTTCATTCTACGGCATTCAGAAACTAACACTCAAATGGCAGAAACTTTCTGCCACTCAAACATTGAGTGCATTACAATACAACATTCCTGAATTAATTGCTTAGTTAAGCACAAATAGTTGTGATCAGCAAAGGAGACAGACCTTTGGTCAGTGTGATTACTCAGTGCCACAACACAGGACCTGAGGTGTACGTGATGTTGCATGGAAAGGTCAGGTTTATTGAGGCTGAAATTTAGAGGGTTTGTTGATTTCGTTGATGACAGAAAAAGATAAAGGTACATCTGAAATGGCAGCACATCAGAATCAATCTGAAAATAAAACTCATGGGCCTTTCATTCAAGTCAGGAAAGCATGCCAAGTTCAAGTGATTAAAAACCTGAAGAAAACTTATTAGGGCAAGTCTCCCATAATTTATACTAATAAATTATTTGTCCCAGCAGGAGGCTAGTTTTAATTTGGAAGTACAATCCAAGTCAATTTTGCTGAAGTAGAAAAGGCACAATAAGGGAAATGACTTTCCAGATGAGATGAAATTGCTGGCTCTGCTGACTCACATGAGCAACTTTGTTGGGGATAGGATTATACCATGATATGTAGCTTGATCCTTGTCGTATTACTGCCTGAGTCCCAAAGGGAGACAGAAAAAGGAGCATGAATTACTGTGCCTGGAATATTTACTATAATCCCACAGTGATTTTGAGTTATTCAGTCATGGTGCCTTTGTCATAAACACTTTTCAAAAATGACAGTGATGCTGATTTGACATAACTGAAGTAATAATCCGATATTGCACATTACTTACCTTATGTTTGCAGCATAACAAGCCAACATCAGCAACAGCACCTTTTAATGGTTCTGGGATGCTGTAATAGAGGAAAGAAACAGTGACTTATCCATCTAGTTCACACTGTAGTGTGAACAATTGGATTTTAAAGCTACATATAAAAAACACCTTACTTTGTACACTTGCATCACGTGTGCCCAAATATGCATGACTGCAACTGTGAGAGAGAATGCAGGAAAGCACTCTGAAAGTAAAAGTTCAGCTCAGTAGATCAGAGAGCCATGCTAGGAGTCTCCCATTATTACTCATTTTGTAACTTTTTAGCACTAACTTGATTTCATAAAAACCTCTGAACAGGTGATGTTCAGAAACAGAATGATACAAACCTAGGTGGTATTTAAATTGTTTATTTTTGTGTGAAAACCCCTGAAATGGTATAAATTATGTGGATAGTTCTGCAAGACCTTCCATGTAAGGAGTCCAGAGTAACTTCACTCTTGAGCTCATTAAGTAATAAGAGAAGTCTAACTGAATAAATAGAAGCAAGTCATGTAGCCTTAATGGTTCTATCCCAAAAATCTGGTGACCAGACTAAACCTATGATGACCTCTTTTTGCAGGTCCTTAGTTGTACAGAAACTGACAGGGTTTAGAACAGATAAATAGAACAGAGTTTTTGTATCTCTCTGAAATACATGCTGTCATTTTTATTTTTCTCCCATTTCTTTCCCTAGTAGGGAAAAAATATCTGCCCAAAATCTGCCATACACTTTGCCAGTGTGTTCATAATCATATTTTGCATCTTAAAAAATGTTGGCATTACCTGTTTTAAGGAAAAGTTCATCCTGTTTTCAGAGATAAAAATAAATAGTGCAAAAGTAGAATAATAGGAAACTCCCCCTGCCTACAACCACATCTCATAATTATATATTTGGTGGGTTTTGCAATTTGTTTTGCAATTTCATTTTACTCTTAACTTTGATCAGGCTACGAATATATCTTGAGTCTTGATGACTAGGCTGTACTCTGCATCCAATGAACAGTGGAATATTGGTTAAATAAGAGTTATTTGAGTTTATTCATCAGAATTACCATTAGCAGAAAGATCAGAAAGGCAATTAGTTACCTTGTGAGAGAAAGGACGTTTTTTTATCCTTCAGCTATAGGAACAAATTTTTCATTAAAACAAAAAGGATAAGTTTACCAAGGTGTTAGCAAAGACTTAATAGCATGTAAAAGTCTGCCATAAATAATCCCATTCAAAGGTGTAATTGCAGTATATTTGAAAGCATTGCATCTTGTATTTCTTAGTATCTTGTCATACAAGGGTACCAACATTCTCTGCTTGAACTTTGTTTAGTATGGGGGTTTGGGTGACGGGGGTATTGGTACTTTGGTTTGCATTTCTTTGTTGGTTTGGGGTTTTTTGGTATAAATTAATAACAGAGGAAATGCAGCTGGCCAAGTAAGATTAGATAGCCACTGTTTATCACTGTATTGTTAAAGAGAATGTTGCTCTGTGGAAATTCTGGGATTCCTTTCATGCTTAGTACAGAATTTCTCTTTGTTCTGGGATGATAAGTGTGATGACTTTCTAGCGTGTACTGTAGATTTTTTTAATTGTCATGTACTAATAGGGAATCCTAAGTATTCACAATTAAATTCACATTTGTAGTCTTAAAAAATATATTCTTAGTGAAGTTGTTAAACAGTTTGAAAACAAACTTGAAAACTTGAAAACTTGAAAACTTGCCCCTTTATGACAACAAATATGAAGTCTCTAAAATGTATGAACCAGAAAAGAGGTATTTGTCCATGATTTTATTTATGTTTTAGCCAACTAGCTGTGTTTTTTCCTTTTATCTCTATGAGAATCATATGCCCTTCGTGCTGACCATCTTGAAATCTGAAAGTACCTGTTTAAAACAAGCCATAAATGAAGGATGTCAGTGGCTGAGCTTGTCCTCGCCTCACATAAGAATGTTCTCTGTGGCTTTAACATTCCTGAAGGAAATTCTTTAGTGGTGTGTCAACTAAATGTGGAGATTTTCTGGTCAATGTTACTCTTAGTTACTGGAATGCCACAGTTCTTTAGATGTATACTTATCATCCATAGCCTGCAATATTTTCACAATAAAGAAAAATCTGCAATAAAGCAAATAATATAACACAATATTCCAAAGGACAATAGAGGGATTTCATGATATGACTTGAAAATTTGAAAAATCCTGCAAAAGTAGGTTTGTTCTTTAACATACTATGAGGTGACAAGTTCCAGAATTAAAACTTCCACAGTGTATCTGTGTATGTGTCTCTGAAGTGCAACCATTTTGTCTTTTTTCCAAGGTTGAGCACAAAGGTAACATTCACAGAGGCTTCCAACACAATGTCTGCTCCAAAACATTTTGTATATTACTAGCAGTTACTGTTCTAACTGAAATACTGTTAAAAAATTTCTAGGAATGTTGTGTCCATTGACACAAATAATACTGCTACCATGGCTTACCTTTCTGCAGAATAGCATTTTTAGGTTTGCAATTTTTATTTAAAACAAAAAAACAAACAAACAAAAAAGACATAAAAGCTTTTCTATTGTTCCAAGAATTATGAAAATGCTAAATTGCTTTCCCTATCTCACAGAAAGCAACACTGACTCTGCTGACTGAATAAATAAAAGCAAGTCATGTAGCCTTAGTGGTTCTATCCCAAAAATCTGGGACAGCTTCTGGGACAAAAATCGTTGGGGCAGCTTCTTGTGTGTTCAGGGTAGGCAGATGTATTAGAACATGTGGTTTGTAGCTGAAAAGTCATAATTACAGTTGGTTTATCCAGAGCTAACGAGCAGCTACTTCTTCTGAAGTATAGATGAGAGAAAGATCTCAAACTAAAAATAAAATAACAAAAATATATGATTACATGCACTGGGTGTCTGAACATGAGCATTTCCTGCTTCTGGCATCAGTGTTCTGACAAAAAGATGATCAGACCACAAGTTACAGATTTAGAATTGGGCATCCTTGAATTGATTTAGGCTATGCTCAAACTTGCACATAGACATGTCTTCATAAATGCAGCAATTCCTGGAAGCTTAAGTATTTGTCTGTGCAGATCTTGCATAACTGCTTACATGGAACAGTGAAGCGGGAGAGTATTTTATGTCTTTTATCTTCTGATATCCATCATATGTCCATCTTAATGTCTATCTTTTATTTCATCTTAGCAACTGGGAGAAAAAGTAATGAAAAATATCTTAATTAACAGATAACTCAAATTCAGATGACATGATGAGAACAAACTGTAAAAATCTTTCACTTGCTTTTTTCCTTAGAAATATTCTGTAACAGGTTGACTTTATCTATGTTCCCACCTTGGACAAACACCCACCACAGAATCTTAGTCATTTTGACTGTCTTACAGAGAATGCAGTTTCATTCACACCCTTGATATTCTTACAGAAAACAAACCCCTTTTTCTATTCCTCTTCATTTAATGCGTTTTTCATGTGTTACACATGTAAAATGAATGACATTACAACTGAATGAGGTATTGACAAACATTCTTTTAATACAAAGGCTGAGTATATTTTAATTTATACTACAGTACCAAGTGACTCTGTTGATTCATCTTCTGAAAGATTAATTCAGCTGCAAGAGCTAGACAAAATATAGTTTTGTTTGTTTGTTATATCAACATTCCCTGCTTGTATGAGGATTACAATGAAACAGTGAACTTAAGGTAAAAATTTTAATGCACAGATAACTAGCTCTTACTGTGCAGCCAAAAAAGTGTTAATCTCTTTGGCCATAATAGTGAAACTTGCATTTATGAAGTGTTTTCTGAGTTCAGTTTACCATTCCTAAACAATGTTATTTGTAATTTGGTTTTGTTTTTCAGAGTCATAGGCATTGGGAAGGAGTAGATAATGAAGTATCTACCCATTTCTAACTGGCTGACCCAGCTTGGTCTTGCAGAATATTGCACGCTCTTTCAACAATATGATGGTATAGAGGTGAGAATTGTCCTTTTTCAATAAAATTCTTGAGAAAATGTTAAGTAAGATCTTTCAAGCTACTAAAAAAATCCAACCAAAATGTGTCTATTAAATTTTCCACTGTGTTACCCTAAGCATCTGCTGTTTGGTACTGGAATTAACAACAATCTTAGTTGTGTTCCTTCTTACAAACTTTTTGCTGAAGTTTGAAGAGCAGGCATATTGCATTTGTACTCCTTTTTTGGTTTTTCTTGGAGGATGATTTTGGGATTTGGGAGAAGTGTGTTGGGTCTTTGACAAAAGCAGTGGGACTCTCTGTCACTGTTGACAAAGATGAAAAATCCTATCTACTGAAATGCGAATTCAACATTAGTACCAACTTTTGCATTTGGGCAAACCTATAAAGGAATAAATTAGAAGTAAGAATTATACAACTCTCTACTTTCATGTTATTAGTTACATATGAGTTATCATTTGAGAAAGAATATTATATTCTCAGGCATGACTGAAATTCTCCAACAGTGAGAACGTTTTTTTCTTTTAAAGCAGTGCTAGCTAGTGACTTAAGAAATTGAGTCTTTCTGTAGTTTGAGCACTATTCAGTCTAAAGCAAATAATGTCAGGCTTTTGAAGTGGTTTTTGTTTGAAAGAAAGATTTTAAAATTACAGTTTCAGAAACAGTGGTTCACACTAGAAATTCTGTGTCAACTGTCTTATTATTTACACAGTGAATCAATCTCATTTTGTGCTCTGGGGTCTGAATTGCAAATCTCCATTACAGAAAAGCCACTTTCAGTAACATAACTTGCTAGTAACAAAATACTGTACATTCTATGTACCTCTCTTTATCTTATTTACAGTGAAAATACAGTAAAGAACAGTAAAATATAAAGAAATATATTTGGATACCTATTTGCTCTGAAAGTTTTCATCATCAAATGAAATTTTGTACCTCCTTATAAATCAACATCAAATTGAAATTCTGTACTGCCTTATAAATAATATCTGGAGCTATTCAGCAGCTTATTTTGAAAGTAAAATAGTAATGAGTTTTCAGAGAGAAAGTGGATTAGGAGAAAACAGTTCAGGTTTGATTACTCAAATGTATGATATAGAAATTCTAGTTCTTCAAAACAGTGTCACAACTCATGTTGTCTATTATTACAGTGAATATCCTCTTCATTATACAAAACCTTCCTTTCTAAAATCATTATTCCTATCAATTCATGCTGAGATTATCTTACTTCACTAAGTGCAATTGGCATAATAGCACTTTTAGGGATTTTTACTCAAAGGAGTTGTTTAATCAAAGGAGATTAGGAATTCTCCAGCAAAGCTGACCAGATTTATTTTGAGGAAAAAAACTGAGAGACAAGGAATTAATATTTTTAAAGAAAAATACCTTGTTCCTTCTATGACATACCTTATCATGACAAAGGGGCTTCATATAAAATGTGAATATGTTGTTGAATATGATCATTTGCTATTATGTAATTTACGGTACCAGAAACAGAAAACATATTTGAAAGACACTTGGATTCTCCTGTATTAATAGCATAATTTTTTCCTTACTCTGGCATTTGCTACAGGATTTATTTCATCTTACAGAAGTTGATCTTAGAAAACTGGGAATTGAAAATCAAGGCCACCGAACACACCTCATTTCCAATATCCTGCTGCTTCAGGAGGTAAAACAAAAGAGAGGTAAGATTTCTATGTTGTCTCCTAAAGACTAAGGAATGAACTAAGGCAACCCAAGCTTCTCTGTCACAAAGGATGGTAAACAAATACCCTGATTCAGCCTGGGATACTTGTCTGAATGCAGATCACTGGGAGACTTTATACAGACAATAAGAGGAATTCTTAAACATTGGTTTAACAAAAAATCAAACATTCATATTTTGGCATGGATTTAGAAAATAATTTTTTTATAAAAGTTGTCATTCAGAAAAGTTTTCAGTTTTATTTCAGCTGCTATTGCTCTCACAGTCTTCACCTTAACAAAACACAGTAATGTCAACATATCATAATTGATGGAAGTCTGTGTCACAAATATCTTCCTCATTTGGAAAGATCATATCAGAAGGTCTAAACCAAGCTATTTTCTGTACATCCCACCTCATTCCTACTGAGGAGAGGATGTGTGCTCGCACAGTTCTGACCCTTCTTTTCCATTAGGGACTTCGGTGTGAATCACTGCATCATTCGTTGTTTTTATCAGCTCAGTATCAAAATTCAACTCAAATTCATGAGAGTTGGAACAAGCCCTGTAAGACATTCTAGTCTGAGTGGAAAGATACAGTGAGAAGTTATTCAACTATGACTTGTTGTACTGGGTGTTTTGAGAATCGTTCACAAGATAATGAGATACAAGTATTATGCATGCTGTCCAGTAATTCTTCAGATCACTGCCAAAGGCTTTTACAAGTTTAATGTCAAGCAGTTAGTTAGTTACTTGGCTAACAGTCCTGCTTCTACATTCTCTTGGTCAAGATAAGACTTTTGCACCATGTGTAGAAATTGATTATTCATAGAACGTGTTTAGCTACTGAAGTTTTCAGAAGAAACTAGAACTGATGGTATACAAGTAGGTCACTGTATTTCCTCAATGTTTTACAACAAGTTCAATATTGATTTAAAAACTTCCATGGCTCATGGGTTCAACTGTCTTAAAATATGGATGTAAATATGACATTTTTGTAACTGCTACTGTAAAAAGATTAGGAAATTATTTCAGTTGATGATTGCAGTGAAACTGGATGTGTTTCAATTGGTATCTGTTTTCATGTACATTAGGACTGTGTTTCATAATCTTTTCAGGTACTGAAGTGCGGAATGTATTACAGTTATCAATGTAGCACTGTTTTTCTAAGGAAAACTACACTTTTCAAACTGTCACTGACATGGTAAATTGATTTGTAGATGGTTATGCAACATTTCATTCAACTCACCAGAATGTTCCGGCTCATGTTTGCTCAGCTTCAGTTATGTTGAGCCAACATCAAATCTTGATGTACTGCTGATGACTTCAGTGAATATGAATTTGAGTTAAAAAAAAATATTTCTAAAATGGTGTGTGTGTGTATGTATACATATATATATATATATATATATATAATTTATTTTTTTTTGGCAGTTAATTGCTAGAACTCTTTAAGCTAAACTCTAGTAAAATTAGTGATGGTTCATATTTTTATGGGCGTTTATCTTGAGCAATGTTTCCATTCACTGTTGGATTTTGGCTAATGACAATTAAATGTATAATTTAATTGTGAGCTTGAAAAAAATACTGACACATTGATCTCCAAGTTCTGTTTACACCAGGATATTTGCATCCTCATTAGCTTTGCCTATTGTAATAAGGATTTCTGGGAAGGCTGAAAACAGATCAGTTCAGTCAGTCATACATGAGTGCAGACTGGTTTGTTTTCACAGTGGGGACTAATGGTTGTTATCTGGTCTCCAGGCTATTATGACACGGTTTTGTTTTGTGTCTTTGACAGAATGCTGTGTCTAGGAGCAAAGTGGCTAATCAGTTACACTGAAATGCTTCTTTTCCAGCACTGAACTTTACTGTAGTCAGACTTTAGAGAAAACTACTAAAATTTTCTATTCTATTGAATAAATGCTAATGTCCTACTAATGTACTTACTGTATCAGAGAAAAGGCTATCTTACTCTGTTTGCTGTTATTTTGAGCTTTAAACAACAGCATTGTATTTGGTGCTGGTTCAACAGTTTCCAGAGAGTGCTTCAAGTGATAAATCACTTTAATAAGTAAGTATTTGCACAGAGTTAAAAGTGACATTAAATTTTGGGAATATTTGTGAAAACATTTTCTGTTTTCTCAAATATCATCTTGATTCTGAAACTAATTTGAACAGGACATGTCTAGTGTAGCTACTTGGGCTGTGTTTCCACAGTAATTAATACCAAGACCTGTGCATTGACATAATGCCCAGCAACGCATTAGAGCTGGATGAAACATGTGCACATGATCACATATCTGTTGAATTAGGAAGAGTACACAATACGAAGTTCACTGGCTTGATACCTTTATGCCATCTTTATGGTAGCCGGTGATAGGGAAGTGAGTAGGACAACTGATTTTTGAGTGGCATTAGCTAATCAGTAGGAAAATAAATATTCAAAATTGTTACATCTCTTCAGCCCAGAAGAATAAATTTAATCATGGATCAGTGATTTGAATAATGGGGCTCTGATATTTTTGATCTATACCAGAAGACTTAAAGGCTACTGTACTGTAGACTCTTTAATTGAAGCTGAGTTTCCAAAAATGCCACCCTAAGCAGACTGTATCTTTTTCATCTTTCCTTAGCTGCTTTTCCCCATCTCTCTATCATTCCTTTAGCTGTCTGTAAAACTATCCTGCAGCTGCATGGTGAACCCATTGGGAAATAATATTCCAGCTGAAAAACAACCTTTTTTTCCTCCTCTCTCCATCCACATCAAGTGTCCAAGCCAATTCACTCTTCAGCTGCACAAATGCTCCCAAGAGCCTGCATGGCCATGGAAGACACAGCACAGCTGAGCCCTGGTGGCTGAAACAGCCCTACTGCCAAACTGAAACCACAGCTGAAGGTGTTAAGTGGGAGGCAACTGACTCTGCTCCCTCTACTATTGGAGAGACAGATGAGTTCAGCATATAATTCAGTTCACTACTTTTCGTAGGTGTCTATATTTTTTGTTGACTGTAGAGTTATACCAGGATGGCTGACTTCCTGACAGATCTCTTAGCAAACACTGACAGCTGGTGGAATTAATTTAAGTCTAAAAGCTAAAACTATGGTTGTTCTGGAATATTTAATCTCTTTTGTGTGCAGCCTTACAAATTTCAAGAAAGCATTTGTTTCTTTCTCTAGATATTGATGATCTCCAGTATTTCCTTGTCTATTTATCATTACTTATCACTACTTTTCATTTCCTTGCAAATCAAAGTATACAAGTGGAAATGTGTTTACAGTTTCTGAAGATTTTCTTCAGAAAGTGCAAAATTGTTACCAGTTCTAAACATACTTCCTACCCCTGTTCTATGAACAGAAGATCATCTGGCCATGTAGAGTCTAACAAATGGTTTCTCCAGCATCAGCTGGAGAAGTGGAAAAGTAGCTCTTGAGTGAAAACATGAAAGAGCACAGCAATCTATAGTGATGCTTTCCTAGAATACTTTCTCAGCCTCTAAGGATTTAATCTAACAAAACATTTCAAAAGGTATGAATGCGAAGAGACATAAATATTCATTCCACAGTCTTTTTGCCTGTATCTTGGCTTGCCTTTAGATGTAGTAGATGCACTGTAGCATATTCTGGATCTTGATGTCCTGCCATCTACACCAGCACGTACTCATCATGTGCTGTGACTCCTTTGGGATGTACCTTTTGTTTTCTGTTCCAGGGAAATTGTAAGGGTGAGGCCTGCAACATGCCTGGGCTTGTCATAGTGTGGACTCAAGATGCATCCAAAAATTGGGTCCTAGCACTTCTAAGAAAAGCAAAAAATCTGGGCTATGCTTTCAGGAATGTTCTCAGTGGCTATCCAGCACCTTTTTGAAATACTTGCCTGGCATCTTAGAAAAGCCAGGAAATTACATATCCTCCTCTAGAAGAAGCTTCTTGTGGTATGACAAAAATTGGTGAGAAATCAGGTGTAATTTGACTCCTGTATTACTCAAAGGGTCTTCTTTCCCTGAGAATGAAGCATATTGCACTGTGTACTGCAACAATCATCAGTTCAAGACACATCCTGAAAGCCACATCCCAGTACTTGTAGGGTAGTGCTTCTGGAAGGAACCGGGGTTTTCTCAGTATCCTCTAATACAACTAAATACAGAGTTCATGCTGTATGGGATTGAACCAGTGTTATTTAATAATTTAGTTTTATGTTTGTTGTATTTAATCTCATAGTGTGCTACAGTCTGTAGGATTGTGATTGTATTATGATTTCTTATGACCTATAGTAAATGAATAAATCATTATTTGTTATAGTAAACAAATAAATCATGCTTCATATGTGTTGAGGAAACCTACCATGATGTGAGCAGTCCAGTAGAAATGGTACCTAAGGAGAGGGAAATGTAACCACATAAATGAAAATGTCTTTCCTGAGACAATGAAAAAAAAGGCCTTGGGTATTGCCAGACATGGAAGATATTTCTTTTTTCCCTTTACAGACATGAATTTAAATACAGCATTATATTTGAAAACTTAGTATCATTTGACTGTTAAAATATTTACATATATTTGCATGCCTTCATGATGTATCTATACATCACTGGTTATGAGTGGAAAGAAATAGAGAAAGCTAAGTGCTAAGTATTTTTTAAGGAGGTGTCATAAGAGCTAGAACTTCATTTTTCCAGTTCTTTTATTGTGATGAATTCCGAATAATAGCATTTTATGGCCTCGTGTGATTTCATTAACATCTTGGAGTGTTTTACTCTGAGAGACAAAAGGTATAAAGAATATTTTCTTTTTGTCTTGTACAGATTTTCTTATGCAGAGAGTTTTAATAGGATATAGGTTCAGATCTATTATGATTTTTTTTATCATACAAAGAAGGCCAGCCTTACTGCATTAAAATAAAATATGTGCATTGACATAATTTATTGTAGGTAAACATAAAATAATACACAAAACCTAAATTAGATTGAATTAAATTAATATTCCATAACATTCTGCTTTTAGA